AGGCCTATAGTGTGATGTACTAGCTCCGTGGATGATGCCAGAGCTCACAAAGATAGTTTATCTGGGGGAAACAGGCACTGTTAGACTTCCTGTCTGATTTTCAGGAGCCCCGAAAGATGTGCAAAAGTGTTGCAACTGATAGTCATAAACCAAAAACAAGGAGAGGAATAAGATAAGTGCACGGATAAGACGTTATCAGTTGCAGCACTTCTGCATGTCTAAATCATTTTGGTTTATTTCGTTATTCCTCCTTTTCTTCATCCTTTACAAAATGAAGAATGGGTGTCATTGTATGCTTCCACTTCACTGATGCATACGTCAATAACAAGGAAGTCAAAGTCATTGACTAACAAGGAAGAGAAAGTCATTGACATTGTACTCAGTTTGACGTCTGAGATTTAGTGATAAGTTCCTTGAGGAGGAAAGGCACTTGTCAGGAGAAGGGGCAGGTGTTTCCTCCATAACTATCGGCTCATGTCATTACTGCCAATGTTTGTGATAAGCAGAAAAGATCAAAGGAGATATTACATGGTGTTTGAAGGGAGATAAAGCCTGTATATTAGTCAAACACAGGTGCTTCCTACAGCAGAGTGGAGTTGGATTTATTTCTTTGCTGTCTGGGGATCGATAGCAAATTTGAGAAGCCTCTTGGCTGCCCTCTGCAACATTACTTTCCATTTTCAGATATAAGTTGTGTTTATATAAAAGGAGTACAGAGAATGAATCGAATCTTGTTCACAAAGCGCATATGTTCTGAGTACACTGATCATGACACTGTTTGGTATCTCAGTTCTTTCTTTTCTCCAAGGTTGAACATGAACATAACACAGCACTTTTTGTCCTGCCTCCTTGGAAGAAAGATGTTTTCTTTCCAGTGTGCAGTTCACTCATCAGTCCACCAATCATTCTATGTGAAACAGAATTTGATAGCTCTAAAAGCACCAAAAACAATGTTAAAACAAAGATTAGAATACAAAAGTATAACAAATCATAACAATTACATGATTTACTAATATAACAATGGCAAGGTCATAAAAGCTGTGTATTGAAGACATTTTTATACTTCACTGTTTACTCTCACACCTTTTGAACAAAGGTAAAAACACTAGTAGGCAATTCACAAGTATCCATTACTACCTGTGGTGTGACTGCATGCCCCTGGATTGACGATTGTGTCATTCCATCCCCACTTTGCATTGTTTTTAGAGCTTTGAGTAATTAGTAGCTTTTCACAAGCTCTTGCCAATGTTCCCTTATGTATACAAGAATTAAAGGTCCAAGTTTTTGCTTCCCTTTGAGGAAAGAAAGGTCATAAAGTCCAGCATGAACTATTTTCATCCAGAGAGGAACTAGTAACTTCAATTGTTCGTGACAGTGAGTGAAGCAATGTCATAGGTAACATTGTCATGATTGTCCAGATAAAGGGGAAACATAACAGAAAATGGCATTGAGGTGTGCCCATAGAATTAGAATCACCTGGAAATGGCCTGGAGCTACGTACATGTACCCATAGAATTGACGTTGAATATTCAGGCCGTCTGTTGTTGCAGCCTATTGTTATGATAAGTTTTATAATGACATCTTTGTGCTCTTCAAGGGCAATTTCCAGCACAGGTGTGAGGGGTGATCCATTGTCTATCCTGTAAGGAGGCAAGAAATGCAGCAAACTTTGCTGTTGACAACAATAAAATTTACTTACTCATCAATGCAAATTTTTTCACACCCACAGCAATATCTTTACCTGTGGTTAAAAGTATATTGTCTACCATGAAATACTCCTTGATCCTCCCTATATATGATCATGAAATGTCCCTAATGTGGTAGCCATGGTGAATACCCATGGGATGGTCTTGTGGCCAGGTACATCTATTGCCGTATTGGTGCAGGAAAGCAGCCAGTAGAACACAAAATGTCACTGGAAACCATTTCTCTGTAGAATCTACATACCTGACTCAGATGTCTGTGCAATTATGAGAAGCCCTGCACTGCCAAGGGTAAGGTATAATTTCTGCACCAGTTTTTCCCCATGGCAATGGTAAGAATACATGCATAGCCACTGTTTTTGTTTCATTGTTCCAGTGGTATGAAAGGACTATGGTGTGCTGGGAATGGGATTTATCGATCAACAAGATTTCAGTGAAATTTTCGATCTCTATGTATATGACTCTAAAGCTAGTGTCTAGCCTTTGCCTTTGGCAAAACCATGTTTCAGAAATATAATTTTATATCTTAGTTTAAAGCCTCTATGCCTCATCACATCAGAAATACAGTATATCAGTATGTTATGTCAGGTAATATGCCCTAACATTGAATGATGATAGGGAAATAATGAAATGGCCCTTTGCTACATCCCACATCTATTATTTGTGTGACTTTGCTATGCAGACAAACACAGACAAACTGTATATAGCGGTATGAAATACACTGCCATGTACAATGTCTTTTCCACCAGTACTTTTCCATTGCAATAACACATTTTCCAATATCCTGGAATGTACTAATGGAAGGACATTGAAATAGATTTGGAGGCTGTTCACTCCCGTGCACACACCTGATCAGAATTGATTTTCAGTCCTACTGTCTACTAAACTATGATAAAGAGTCTCATAGCTTTACCATATATATAGTTCCTAGACAGCCCTGTGTTAAAAATGCAATTTTGCATGTATGAGAGCTGGTGGAATCGATTTTGGAGTGTTAAAGGTTTTTGAGACCGTCTGATGGTAGGGGCCATTCCATTTCAAGTGTGAAGGGCAGTTCGAGTACCCCAAGAAAATGTGTACCCTAATCCATTTGATCATCTACTTGTTATTCAAACCTGCATGTAGCTTTCGGGAATTATCACTTTCCCTTTCCATCAATACGTGAATAATTCTTTACCATAACACAATACCGAAGCAAAGAATTATCGATATTGCGTTATGGCAAAGAATTATCGGCAATAATTCTTTGCCATAAGTTAACGCAATACCATAATTCTTTGCCATAATGGACCATAACTAGATCACTGTCTTTTCCATCTCTTGGCATCATATCATTTTTGGAAGATCTTTATATTCCTGCCTTAATTCGGGCCTATATCTCTTGAGACAGGGCAAATTCCAGGAATCCCATCTGTCGGTAGTTGTGACATTCCTATTGCTGTTGATCTAACCAGCCTGGTCCAGTCTGGCGGTTTTGGTTAGTTGGTTCAACTTCCTGGAATTCCGACTGTAATGACCTGGTTTTCAGGAAACTCCCCCGGCCTGGAAAACCTCCCCAATTAAGAAGGCATAACATTCCTGGCACATGTCAGAAGCAGGGTAGTTTTATATACGGCCCTTTGTAATGATTAGTTTTAGAAGTATATGTGCCTAACTTCAAGTTGTATTGGATATGCTCTAAAAGACATCAGCAGCCATTGCCTAGATAGAAGAGACACCTAGCAGCTATTGTAAAAATTGCAGGTCTACTTGTAGTCAGCAAGTTTGCTTTAGTTGACAAGTACAGGGTGTGGGGGTAATTTGGGCATTCTGCCCACACTAAGGAATACAGCCCAATCTGAAAAGTCTTAAACAACATTCCTGCCGTACACAAAGGTCCCAGTCCAGTAACCAAGCGTGTTATGTTGGGAACAAGGAATGTTAAGTGCTGATATTGAATAGTCTGATGCATTACCTGCCAGGAAATTGCTGAGGTGATGCAGAATTCAATTTGTCTCTCCAAGTAAATATGCCAGATTTGCCCCATTAATGGAACCACTTCTGCAGGAACATCAATTTTTAGAATTCCGTGGCTGCTAATGCATAACCAACATCTGTAGATGTGGAAAATTGGCCATTCCATTTATGTGGAATATTTGACCCCACTCAAGGTAAAAATGGAGATATGCTTTACCACAAGTTTTGCTGCAGCATGCATATATTTTCTGACATTCAGCTTTTGACCTATATACATGACACAGACTCTCTGATCTGTTTTTTTGAGGTAGTTGTCAACTCTGCCATTGTAGCATTTTCATGGCAACCAATAATACTGATTTCTCCTTATATGTGCTTAGTCTTAGCTTGAGTATCTGTTATCTATTGACTGAACCTTTACATTCAGTTATGTTTGAGATTCCCATAGTTACCAGACAACGCATCTGTAAGAGATTCCGTGTTATGATGTGTGTTGTTCCATGTTTGGTGTTAAAACGTCAGCCGCCGCCTTACTTCCTGGTTTAGTGGAGGGGTTGTTTGGGGTTCCCACGGAAACCACTTGAGTGTTTAGGGAATTAGAAGTGCCAAGTTGACAACAAGATGAGTAGGAAGTTCTTGATCCAATAATCTCTGTTGCATCTACTTGCCAAATATGCACACGTTGGAACTTGGAATACAAAAGGACTCTGTTCTGCGTCAGAGCTTTGTTAAAACACACAGCAGCTACTGGCATGCTTTGGAGTAAAGGCAGGAAGGAGTTGGGAACATCTTTGTTTAGACTGTGAGAGTTTGACAGTAAGAGAATAAAAACAGCTTATAGTAACTTTGACCAAGATATTACAAAGACCGCTCCGAACAATGAGTAATTATTATCCGTAACATTGAACAGGTGCTCAGAACAGAGCTACATCCTCTTCAAATGTAAATTCAGATGCCCTTTTTGTGGTAGTAACAGGTTATCTAGGGGTCATAAGAACTGGCTTATATAACTTGCAGCTATATCACGTGGTCTCATCTACGAATGACGAACATTCAAGTTGCTTCTCTCTTCACTAAACATCGTGCTTGGCAGTTTAACATTGTTCATATCGTATGCAGGTAACTCGTATAACAGGATATAAAACTGGAAATTTGGGGTTGACTCTCAAAGAAGATGCCTTACAAAGCTTGCCTCCATAAGAGTAGAAGCATGCCCTTTCCTTTGATTCAAAAGGTAAGTATAAAGAGATGTACCATATATCAAGGAAGAAATATTTCATGTACACAGTTTTATGGCATGGCAGTCATTGAGTATTTGTCTTCCTTGTTGTTTCTCTCCAGGTTTGCCATCATGCAGAGTGCAAAGAGAAGAACAACAAGCACCCGCTGAACCTGTGTGACCAGTGTGACAACGGGCTGCACTCTGGACAGCACTTTGACGGCCACCTCAGATTCGACCTCCCACCACAAGGTAAGAAACTATCATACAAGGCTTTAGAACCATACTGTTCAATTGTATCAGTGGCATCGGTGGCGAAACAGTTAGAGCGTTGGACTCGGAACCACGTTCGATACTCACCATTCCCCGATGTTGTGCCTTTGGGAAAGGCACTTAACACTACCTTCGGCTTCCTTTCCCTGACGGTGGAGTGATGGCCACCGAGCCTCTTAGGCTAATCTGTCTGAATGTGTGCCAAAAACACACTACGGATTTGGTGCCAACATCTGCACATCCATTTGCCACCAAGAGCTGTACATTTTTTTCACTTGTATCAGATGTGGGAAAGAGAATCACAGTGAATCACAATCAGAACTCCGTAAATAATTTCATCAGGTTGGAAGATACTTAGGATATAGAATTTTCTTCTTACACAACCATGGAGTTTCTCACCTGCTTACGTTTCGATGTCTATCAGACACCTTCCTCTGAGCTTCTGACTGGAGTTCTGCAACTCGCCGCTATTTAACGCCAATGTAGGTGGCGCTTTTGCGGCGAGAATGCAATCCCAAACGTTAAATAGCGGCGAGTTGCAGAACTCCAGTCAGAAGCTCTGAGGAAGGTGTCTGATAGACATCGAAACGTAAGCAGGTGAGAAACTCCATGGTTGTGTAAGAAGAAAATTCTATATCCCACAATCAGAACTGTTTAACATCAGAACTTTGCCATTGAGCACCTACAAGTCTTTAAAAGGAATTCCCCACCTGTAGAGATAATGACTCTCCACGGGAGCTCCCAGGTGTAAACAGGTTTGCCCAGGTGTCCTCTACGTGGGAGGAACTCAACCAACAGGTTGGTTTCCTGCAGGTGAAACATACGACACCATTGTTTGAGTTTTGTGGTCCATTTGGGAGTGGGTAGTACCTGGAACTTACCACCCACATACTACACATCCTAGTGTGGTGGCTGCAAGTCATGCCAATAGAATCAAAGGTGTGACTTAGTCGTGACTTTGACTCACTATCTCTAGGTAGGAGTAAGGAGACCATTTATGCCACCTACAGTATTCTTCAGTCCATTTCTAGTTCTAATACCCAACGTGTGTCTCTGTCAAAATATTGGATAATGTCTATTTGGTTGTGGAGAGAGCAACAATTAGACTGAGGTAAGTTTTTTTGTCTCATTAGAACAGACCCTTTAAATCTTTTGTTCCTAGTTCTAAACCAGAGAAGTTAAAACATCTTAGTATCGCATGAAATAACATAAAATTCAGGTACACGATTAGGCAGGATACAGGCATACACAGGTGCATCTGTACAAGTTGCTAGGTTGTTTGTCATAATGTTGATAACAAACAAACTAAGGTGATATTTTATGAAACGACCCATGTTCACATTTTCCTGTCTGTGGAAGATCGATCGCTGTACTTAACTTCTGACAACTGGAATATCCCGCTTGAGTAAAAGTCAGAGCTTTTAGTCTAAAGGTGTGCAGTTGAAGGGATCAGGAAGGTCTGTAAAGTGCTGTTGGATTAGGACGGGATGAGGAGTGGAGCCCTTCTGCATTAGGCTTATGCGTCGTGTGGGTCCTGAATGAAAACAATGGGTCATAACAAAAGTGAGTTCACTTTCAGTGGAGAAGCACTCAGGAAAATGCCACCCAGTGGATATGTATCAAAGTTCAGCTTCACATTAACGCAAAGTGTGTAGTGCACACATGTGATAGTAAAGTACTCAGCGATTGGGGTGTGTTGGCTGTATGGCTTCTTTGTGACACTTTCTATCTGAATGTTTGCTGTCATAAATTTCTTTTGGAGCATAGGCTATGGGATGTAGTAATTTGACAGGTTTTCACAACAACAGTGTTCTTTATTTGCAGGCATGTACTGCAGTCATTCTGTTTTTATGTTGTACATGTGAAATGAATATAAATCAAGTTTGACCTTTAAGACATATCAAATTGGGCCAACTTTGATAATTATCATATGTTCCAAGAAGCATTGACTCAGAGATAAGATCTAACTACTGAGTAACTGTCTGTCTGTGTCGTGCTAGTTACATATGTACTAAGATGGTCCTGGTAGTTTTGTTAGGTCGATTCACTTAAGGCCAAGTATACAATGTATGCAAATGTTTACACTTTTCTTTGTGTTGTGTGATTGAAATGTGATATCCCTGGAGACATCCTCGGGTCCCTGTCCTCTCCATATATGGTATGTCTGTCCATATGTGGAGTAAGCCGCCATATAAGGCATTGTGTCTGAAGCTGCCACAGGTGAGGCCCTCAGGTGGGCAACCTGTCAGACAGGTTTCCGTCTAGTGACATTTAGAAACAGGCCAAATCTGGCGATCTGTGGTAGCTTATAGGGAGGGTGTTTCGCAATGTGCAGCCAGACGTCACACTAAGGTGTGGCGAGCCAGCTGAGAACACTTTATTATCGCCGACGCGTTTAATCCGTCCGCCATGCACCTGACGTCCCAGATCGACACGGAGTGGTGCGAGCCCTGCCAGTCCAAAATCTGCCGGGTCCGCAGCAGATGTAAGTAGGATGCTCGCTCTGTTGTTTATGTTCACATCAAAATGTATGGAATACTTTCCCACGCTGGGTGACACATGCTCTGTTAGTCACGTCGGGTCCCTGGGTTATCTTCTTTGTTTATTGGCGTGATACTTATACAGCGTACAATTATCTAGCGACAAAGATTTCGACGTACCCCTCCATTTCATTAAGTGTTTAGGTGATACTTGTTGTAACTCACCCCTTTTTCAGGCAACTTTTCTCTACATTTCTGAAGTGTATACAGTGTGACAGTTATCCAGTATTTGTTTAGATATGTACACAAGCATGTGCCAGCCTTTGTATCTACTTTTTGGAAGTTTTTAAGGTAAATAGAAAGTTGTAGACCCAGAAAATATGGATATTTTCCACCTGTTCCTGCCCTTGACACAACATATAACTAGGGAAGTGTTCATCAGATGTTATCATTATAGTTGTGGCTCACTATTTGAAAGCCTTTGTTAGCAAGGTATGTCCCGTGCCCCCATATTGTTAAAGCACATTTCAAAAGGCGTTGTTCTTACTATTGCTACACAGGTGCATTTTTGTTCTCATCAAAAAGTAAGAAAAGAAAAGGATCTTCCCTTGCTAACCCCATAACAATGTCCTGTCTTCAGTTGCTGCCTACCTGTCATGGATACTTGCACGTGTCCAGATTGTATGTAAATCCTGCATGACCTACGGACACTTAAAGGCTAAAAATGTGTTGCAAAAACACCTGCAGAAAGAGTTGATGTGCCCATACTCGTTTTACATTTTGTAGTATAATAGAGAACAAGAAGTTTCTAGCTTAAGAGTCAGGCATTGTTTTGATATGCAGCTGCAGCTAGAGCTATTTATGTTACTAAGCAACCTGTTAGATTTGATAATATGCATTGATGGTAAAGATATGCCCATAATCCCAATCCCGATACATTCTTGTTTTCCAAGTTTGTCAGGTTCAGTCATTGTTATAGTAAACTTTGGAAGCTTTCAGAAGTAGAGCATCAAGCTCAAAGATGAGGAAGAAAATAGTTGAGGAAGGTGGTATGTTTACCTGTTTTTCCACTGTATACAGTTACACCTACACCCACTGACCTACTGAATACAAAGTATCTTTTGACATGCCAGGCATTGGTCCCTCTTCTCACAAACAAAGCTGACAACAGTAGCAAGAAAAACAAACATGATAATCTATTAATAAAGAAATGTACCTACCCTGAAGCTTTGCTAGAGAACATCAGAGGAGACAGTTGATCCTCTTTCAGAGTTAAAGTTTATCTGTGACCTATTTTTACATCAAAGGAAGGCTTTATGCATAGTTTTGAGAAAAAAAGGTGTCAGACTTTGCTTAGGAGTGATCCATGGCCATGTATTGAAAGAGACATGAAACAACCGTGAATTCGGGATACTTTAAGTTTAACCTGGGATATGTCTACTTGGTCTTCAGTACTTTCACTAAACTTTTGTTTTTAGAGATCACCGATGACAAGGGTGGCTATTTTATGCAAAATTAATAAAACTAAAAGTTGATAAATGATAATATAATATGGTAAAAGAAATAAGGCAAGCACTCAATTACAGATATGTCATATGTATCTGGAACTGGAATATGGTCTTGCATTTTCTCTATAATATTTCTTAATATGGTTTTCAGCCATGCTGTGAATTTTTAGTAGTCTTACAGAGACAATCTGACCTCCAGTAACTCTCCAACGTGTTTTTCTACTGGTTGTGAATAGAGACAAGGGCAATCAGAAATTACCCCATTTCTTCAGCATGCATAAGCACATTGAACAGCCCTATTGTTCCCCAGGTTATTAATGTAGATACCACGTTAAGGGCATCAACATGGACAGAAATGGGCCGGATCCCCCTCCGGGAATGACCCACCAAAGTGCAAAGGGTAGTTTCTCGTCTTCTTCTCAGAAAGACGTGTTTAGAATGCAAGTAACAAACTGGGGGCCTACCCTGTTTAAGTATGATGTCTAGTTCTGAGAAAGTCGTGTTTTTCAAGCATGTTGTAGCTTATTACCATATTGATGTGTTCCAGCCTTGGGTAGTAAATTTTACCGATGCTTCTGACCGAAGGTAACTCTTGGTAGTTCAAAAGTTGTTTTTCTCAACATCTTAAGCATTGATGTATAAAATTCTTTAAATTTGAAAGTTGTGTACATAATGTTAATTGTTAATCTTCTTGTCAATGACAATAGATTTAAATTATCATCACAATCTGTCAAACTCTCCTGTCTCTTCCACCCTTATTTGTAGGTACTCTGACATCCAAACAATAATTTTTTTGAAAACCAATAATTGAATTGTAATGGCCCACACACATGTACAAGTTATTGTTGCTTTCCCCAGACATGATTCATGTACCATCACCCAAGGAGGTAAAGGTCATGGTTTTACCTACATGTAGCACACCTGGGAGTCTGGATTTACCTTGTTATTGTCCCCTTTGTCATTGTTTTTATGACAGGACTGTTGCAAAAAAGATACTGTATAGCAATAGAAAATAGTTATCATTCATGGGCTTCACAACATAACAGTTCTTTATCACATATGTTGGAGTATACATTGTATACCTTGCCAGTGATGCCTACAAGAAATAAAACTGTACAACAGACTACTAGTATTGATCCATGCAATCTATTGCTAGACCAGTTACATACTACAGAGAAGAATTTTGTTTTTATTTTGAGCATGATTCAAAATGAAGTATTACTTGTGCTTTAGACTTGGAATGAAATATCTACCTAGGTGATATACAACATACTAGATCCTTAGTCAGCGTTACAGCAAGCGCATGCAATAAAAAGATAATAAAATACCCACTGTAATAGCTAACCTGAAATTTTAATAAGCTATGAATAGGGAAAAATCCATCCATAATTTATACAATGAGGACATCATGTGCCGGGAGTATAAGTGGTTTGGCATAGATGCTGCACGATTTGGGTGAAAACAAGTCCCTTATAGGTTCTAAGGTCTTTAGTTTAATTCAATTTTGTGAGCCCAGTCCCACCAGAAAAGCAGTTAAGGTATTGATTACTTAGCATTTGGCACCGTGTAGGCTAGGCCATGTAGGTTTCAATGGCCCAGGAAGGAATCCACATATCCTCACACAGAATTTAGTGTAGCTTGAGAAAATATGTACATGGCCCCTCAGGAAAGAGAAGGTAAGCACTCCAACTGGTATTTCTATCAGAGATTTTTATCATTTGGCATGTCATTTTACAGCCAAAAGATAAGTATTAATGGTAGTATCCATGCTTGATGGATAAGGGGGAGGGCAACACTGGTCTTTACTTGTACATGTATTATGTGCCATGGCATATACTGTAGTATCATCTTTTTATTTTTTAATCCTCTTCCTACCGAGTTGTGCTCTAAACAGTACAAAATTGGTTGCATAAAAATATCTGGAGCAATGCAGGAAAGAGAGAGAGAAAAAGAGAAATGGCAGTGGCTATTTTGCAATGTTATGACCTTTATAGGTGGTACCACCAGATGCGATTCACTGAGCATGATACAATCATTCTGCATACATGTATATATGGGCTATATGTAGGAGAGAGTGGGACATAAGCATGGTTAGAGGGTTGATACAAGAGTTAGATACATACATGTATGCAAGACCTCTGTAATTGTTGCAAGAAAGGCAAGGGATAATTTGCTATCTACAGTGGTGGCATAATTTCTACAGTAAATAAATAATTGCAATGTCCTGTTTGATACATAATTTTGATATGATCTTTCTTGTCCTGCAGTTCATGGAAAACCTCTAAAATAATGTGCTCTGTAAAAAAAATTTTATATTTCAGACAACCAATGCACTGTGAAGATTGCAGATTACCACATAGAGATTAAAGCTTAATGATAGATATTAATATTGATATTCGGCATGCTGATTCAATCTTCAGGTGCAGTGTCACCAAAGGTTTACAGTGTAGATGTGATTATACCAACCAAAGGTACCTGCACAAAGCCCTTTAGGACTATAATATGTGCATAATTTCACATTTGTGTGTTGAGAAATTTTAAACAGTGATGTTGAAGGTTGTATTATTTGTTTGCAGGTACAGGATTGGCCAGAAATGTGTCAACGCGGTCCTGTCCACCAGGTGGAGTGGGGTCTGATCAAGAAGAAGAGGAACAAGACAACGAAGCTGAAAGGTGAGGACTGTTTGAAATTGCTAGAACAAAAAATGTTACCAATGTTAACACAAGCAACAAGGAAAAGAGGATGTGCAATTCTAGACATCCTGGTCCTTCCTTGTAATCCAGTGCTTATGCAGATTACCTGTTAGTTGTGGTACAACAAAAGAGTGTGCAACAAAGTAAGTATTTAGCCCACCCTTTCACACAATGGACACACCTACCTGCGGATTATGACTTGAAGGATACAGTGTTAAGAGAAAGGAAAGGCAGCTGCGTAAGCCTACCAAATTATTGTTCTTAAATTTGTTCAGCCATGTTTTACATGGTTTTTGTTTTTGTTAAGCCACCTGTTCTTTTAGGGCTTTTCTGGAAAACAAAACGCAGCATGCCTAGATTACCTAGAGACAGGTCTTGTTCTATATCTTTTGTTTGGTAGATTTGTGAAGAAAGTTAGCTGAATTCTCTGCAATTTTCATGGCAATATTTGCAGTTGTGAAAATCAGAGTTTGTTTTTTAACCTTCTGATCATTATAATGTTAAAATTCACCAACATGTACATGGAGCTGAAACATGTTCCATAAGATGAATCTTCCAAACAAATCTTTATGAAGGCTGTAACTTTATTGACTGTGTTAATATGTGCTACTGCTCTGTAACATTGGCTTATTCACTGTCGTCAGTCAACCATGAAAGTGACACCTGTTGGTAGTCATGGTAACAATATTCGGTAGTCAAACTGCATACCGCAGATACCGAGGATTTTACGTTAGGTTGCACGGATAATTGCGGCATAACTCAAGTCGTTACGTTAAAAGCATTTGGGAACAGCAAATTGATGGCCATGAACTAAAGAGTCAATAGGATGTCAGCACGGAAAATGATTTCTTTCATGCCCTTGGTCCAAACAAATTGACATAATCGATCTTCACGCAACTTCCTCCATAGTTGTCCACAGGTTTTGATCGCAATGATGTATGCTGGTATTACAGATTTCAAATGGCTCTGTGAGCAACTAAATTTTTTCACACTGCAGAGAATGTAGGTAAAGCTTTGTCTTCTTCCGTAGTCATCTCCAAAGATGTAAACCTTTGCTATTGTATATGGACTTTCGTGGAGGTGAAGCCTTTAATTTGTCAGCAAAAGTACCATTAATTTTGGCAGGATTAAATATTATGTCCCCATTACTGACTCGTGGACAATTATTTCATCCATCAGCCATCATGACCTTCAATGCTCTTTTCACATTCAGGTTTATTTGATAAAATTTATTGCACTGTAATAAAACAAGTCATTGTCGGGACGGACAGGATATATTTTCAGAAGAACAAAATCTAAGAACTGTATGTTCCCATTCATAATGTCATTGCATGGGGAGGCTGAAAATCCTTAGATTTAAGACTTGTCTCTCATCTTGTCAAATACATGTAATCTGTCATACGAAGTATTATCATGCATGCATGCATAATTATCACTGGAGGGCTAATCGGAAAACAACGGCGTCGTTACCAGCCCAAGGAAGGTCACACCGGGGGTCACGGTACATAAAAGCCGCGGAGGAAGTGACTTCCGCTGGTAGACATGTTCAGAGACCACCTGTCAAAACCTCAAAGCCCTTTGTCTACCATAATTACCCAACCTAGTAACCACTTAAAATCATCATGAGGAGGAAGTCACACCCTCAGATTCTTAGCTCAAAATGTAATCAGTTCAAGTCAATCCTTGCAGTCAAAATCTTTAATGATAGGGAAGGATATCTTCAAGGAAGTATATTGCAGAAGAATTGTACACAACAGGAAAGAGTTAATTGTTGGAATCTGAGCTGTTAATGATAGGCTATATAGTTAGAACTAGACATGTCTAAACTTGATGCAATAGTAGGTGAGGCATAGGTGTGACCACAACTCATGAAGTGTAAGCTACAAATAAAGGAGTGGACTCACTAGCTTTCTTTTCCGCACAATACATCTACAATGTATGATAGAATATATAGAAGTTGATTTTTCTAGCCATGATGGATATTTTTGTGTTGATAATGTATCCCCTCAGGAAATACTCTCATTAATGTTGTGTGGTCACCTGTGCACAATGGTTCTTCACAAAGATCTAATTGTTGGACAAAGAGGAACAATGTTAAGTGCGTTGCTGTCGGCACATTTGGTGACATACCTTGCATACTTCACATAGTATATCTTTGAGACTGAACGAGACACACCACAAGATTTGCTCCAATCTCCCTTGACACTCCAGACTGGTTTATGTATGGTGTGATTTACTGTAATTATCCTACTTTTAGACCCACCTAAGTTTAGCCTGAAGACAAATTGTTTCAACAAACAGTAGCCAGTTTATCAGAAAGTTACATTTACTGCTACAGAGCTGGTGAATTACTTGGTGTGTTATTGCTTCTGACCTTCTTGGTTTCAAACACAACATAAAATCTGATTGCATATAGTTAAAAAGTTCAGATTCTTTTGATTGCGGAAGATTCAAGCAAGCGAGGTGTAGCCAAAAACGCCTGCCCCTCCCACCAATATATCTCGATTTGCATAATTACATGTTGAGCAACTGGGCAATTAGAATACGTACTACCCAGTAATGCCACCCAAAGCACACAAGATGTTTCTTTCCGTCTCTGGACATTGGGGTGAGATTCAAGTGTTGCTTTCATATATCTTGTAAGCTTTCAGAAATGTGACAAGAACTTGCAATTTGTAAACCCGTCTGGTTAGCTGTGACTGTTTGAAAATACAGGATAGTGGAAAATCTGGTTGCCAAATTTGTAACTTATGTAAGACAATATATGACTGTGCTTATTCTTACTATTACCTTTGCAAGACAAAATTGTTTAGGTTTAGAACTCCAATACATTTCTCTAACTACTAAAAGATAATATGTCAGGAGGCTGTTGTTGGCAAAATTGTCCAAAAGCCTTACATTCAGACCAAGTATAATGATTCTTCCAAGTAGAACAGGTGGGGAGAACATGTCCTGTGGCTATCCAAAACAAACCACTAATGGCAGTGGTTGCTCTGATACTATCCATTGTTCCACATTTTGATCGCATCCTCAGGCATTGTTTACTTTCAGACTTTTTTCCCTAAGTCAGCTTTTTCCAACACTAGGTTAGGTTTTGATATTTCAGATTTAATTAGATAGTATGTGTTGTGGTTACCATGATACAATGTACATGTAGAGCAATAAGAGAATTGTGTACAAATGTAGAATGTCACCTGCCTTATGTAATTGTATTATATCTGGTTTCTGAACTGACACTTTTTTCTCCTTTTTTTGACAGAACAACCTCGTCATATGGACCACAGAAAGACTTCAAGCTCAGTAAAAAGAAGACAGCCAGAAGACATCACACTGATGTAAGTAAATGTAAACATGATGATTCTACAGGGTCAATTGTTTTAAGCATACAAGCAATCGCTGTTTTTGTTTACATTATATGACTGCAAATTATTAGAAGACATGCCAATTTTTGGTAGGTAAATCAACCAACCATCACCCGCTTCTGCCTACTGTGACACCATGGAGATCGCTCGTATTGACGACTCAATAAATAGTAAAATTTATTTTCTGGTATTTTTCATCTTCCTGCATCATGTAAATTCTGGACAACTCAGGACTTTTGATCTTTGTTGCAGAATCAAACTAATGCATAATTGGTTCATCATACCACATACGTGTATTTAGGTCATTTGTTTTGACGTCAGGAATAATTGTGATTACGCTGGTCATCTTATGTTAAAAATGGGAAGCATGTTTGCTAACTCCAGTCTCAACTGATTACAGGGTTCGGCAACAGGGAAGAGGTTAAAAAACGTAGTTTTACTTAAACTTGTTTGATACAACCCCAGTGAACTCACCCTAACATCCAAAGAAAACAGATATGACAAGAAAGCAAAACCTTATCGGGGCCAACAGATAAACAGATTGCCTTTTAGGTTATGATGACGACAACACACTGTCAACATGACGTGTTACATTTTGTGTCATGTTGCTTCCCCCGTAGCAACCCAATAACATAAGGAACAGTGGGCATCAGACATCTTACTGTTACCACTGGGTTTTGCAATGCACTCACGTCTGTAAACAAGATATCATACTATTAGCTTTATCTTATAATGTTACTTTTACAGGATCCCAGCCGAGAATTCTTCACTGTGAAATTCGACATCGCAGACTACGAAACAGAAATTGTTCCAGCAGTAAAAGGAAAAACCCTGAGGTAGGAAACATGTTCCAATGCAATACTATAGCAATGAAAGTATGCTTCTTCTGAATTCTTCTGTGATGTCTTGTGCTGTCTCATTAATACCTTTAATACCTTGGCAAACACTCAAGAATTTTAGCCTGGTTACCAGGCCTATTCTAGCTCTGAAGTCTTTATGCTCTCCAGAAAGGACTCTGGAGCTAAAAGAAGTCTAGTAACCAGGCTACAACAATCTTGCAACATATAATCACTAATCAAGTATCTAAATGTGAAAAAAAGATTCATTCAGCCTATTTTGCCTCTTATAATTCCTGGCTTATAATATAACTCTATGTTTTACAGGGATGCGCTGGCAGGTATGATGGACAGACGGGGCCTCACCATTGATCATGTCAACATCTACCTGGACCAGTCCAGCACCCCCCTCCCCCTGCACTTCGAGACATATCCACTAGGGGGACACAGTCTTCATGTTAAAGGTCAGGAGAGTGCACCGATCTTTGATGCGAGGATAGTCTAATTTACCTAGTCGGTGTCAGATAAAAATCATCCACACTGGTTTTTGTAAAACAGCTTATTATATAAGTTTATAGTCTATTGCATATCGTAGTATAACTTATATAAGGAAGAACTGAATTTGAATGAAATTCATACTTTCTAATTGTAGGAAAGGAGCCCTTGAAGGATTCGGACACAGTCCTAACGAAGACGGGGCTTCACACTGCCAAGGGCAACGTCATGACGGCAAAACTCAAGACTCTCAGCCAATCAAAAGAAGACCCAACGGGCAGCAGAAGATCATCAGGGGTAAGTCTTCTGAAGAATCAATAGAAAATTGTAGCTAATCTGTGGTTACAACATTTCAGGTGCAGGGTTATGGGTTTGTGATTTTTGATGAAGGTGTGCCTGTTTTAAGGTCATTTTCCACACAAAAATACATCAAGCCATACCTCAATTTTTTTTTTACTACACACTAACTAGATAGAAGGTAATGGTAGTGTACAGCCACTGCCCCTTCCCTAATGTTTTATGTCTGATCCTGAACTACACAATGATTACAACTGCCTGCTGCACCCACACCCTCCACTCAGGCATACCGACGGGCTTTCCCCAAGGCCATCCCTCGCCGGCGTACCATTTCCACCAGCTCCATGTTCTACAGCGACCGTCAGGCCGAGACCTGGGCGCGCCACCAAATGAACCAAAACAACAAGCCCTCTGAGGCGTTTGTCCGACAGCCCCCAGAAAACGGTACCGTCAGTGGCGTTTTCCCCCTGTATGAGGGAGGAAACCTGACGTTTGTGAAGGCAAGTACCGCTCTAGCACTGACCACACGTCAACGCGGTGAAGGGTGGTGGCAGACTGATGACTACTTCCCATACAATTCCTAACCTTCACCCTCCCCTCCTAAATGGTTTATTTTTCTCAACTCAAGTTTTTATCCTTGATTCAATTATTTACTAATGGGTGATTGACTTACAGTGAACCTGATTCTAACTCTACCTTTTTTTTCCATTTTTTTTCCTTTAAATTACCAATTCTCAGGTGTTTTCGTGTCTAATATCAAACACGATAATCATTATATTGTGCAATTTCGATTGGAGAAAGCTTATTGTCCATCAAAATCAAGAACTTTAATTCAAAAACTGTTGGATCATGCTCAAAGCCTAAACTAAACCATTCGCTGAGATATGAAATATTTCTGCTGTGGAAAATTGCTCATCATTACCATTATAAAATCTGTTATCAGACCTCATTACACATAGATGTACCCTGGGTTATCATCGGGTCCTTTTTAATTGTCCTGTGAAACAGGTTATTACTTCCTGTTTACCTTTGTAATTCAAATGTCCCCGAAAACCCTAAGGGAGCCCCTGGAGTCTGAGTGTCTGTACTTATGAGCTGGTGGCTAAATTGGACCCGTGTGCTTATTGGATATTATTTTTTCCAGCAGCTGGTATATTAATCTCTTTGTGGCTTCTCCTACACACTCAATACAAATTGTTCATATTTCTGTTCATGTTGTTTTGTAGATACTGATATCTGAAAATCTCACACCCCTCGAGATGGTACAGTCCTCACTTTAGGTCACCGGCCAGGGTGTCTACGCTAGACTAAATTGAGCCCCAACATGTAAACCATGGTTATAAATGTAGCTCTAGACAAGGACCCTTCAGCAAAAACCTGCTCAGCAACATTCTCGTCATCAGTTGACCCAATGGGCTGGCCCATTTTTTTGGCAGGCGAAACGAAAACAAACTTGTTTACAAAATTTTTGGCACATCAAACTCCATTGTGAGTAGAAAATTGGTCAGAAGGCAATATTGACATTTTGCTTTGGTGGGTTAGAAAAAAGGAAATGTAGGCTCTCAAATTATAATCAGCATTATTTTCAGCAGAAGTCCCCCCTTCTTGTAGAATGGAATGGTCTAACTGACTATGCTTTAATTGGTACACAAAGGATTCTTGACACAAGATAGTGCTAAAGTTTACTGACCTGTCCCCATTCTTTCTCGGTTATGGGTATGTCATAACTAAGGTTCTTCACATACTGACTGCTATTTGTATTTTCTCCCTTTTGTCAAGGTTGGCAACAGCTGGGGTTGGTGTGCTGGATGTTTTTTTGGTGGATAATTAAGTTTTATTGTATGTGTTTTGGTTATTACAGAGCCAGAGAAGTAGGAAGAACATCATGTCTATTCTGGGGTCGTCCCAAGACGTGGGGCCTCTGAGTCCGAGGGAGGGCTCGGACCGTAGCAGAACTGGGGGCAGGTTTAGCGCACTCTTCAACCCAGGAGCTCCCGTTGCAAATGTAAGTTTAAACCCAGATTTCTCATAAATCGGTGCATGATAAAGATAACATCCTCTGCCTTTCAAATCAGCTTGTCCGTGTTGAAAGCCAAGATACAAATGTAAGTAAGTGTGTAAAATATAGTTTGTCATGGCTGTCATTCTCTTTATAGGATTGAACAACTATTAGATAGCTTCAGTGTTTAAGACATGTAGAAAGAAAGCATCACAAGCTCAACCCCAATGTGTTTATTGTTTACTTCATTTGTTTTTCTGTTGTTGTAAGTCAGAAACCAGGGAGTATGAGAGAATATGTTATGAATTCAGTACTGATGATTCTTACTCAGAGTTACTCAGAGTTACTTTGTTACTTCTGTAGTTAATGTTTACAGTTTATGCAAAACAAAACTATTTGTACCACTTAACCACATCCCAGTACTGAGTTGCTGCAAGTGCTCACTAGCAGTGTATTTAGTGTAGGCTGTGAAGCCATTGCTTAGGCTGAAAAGTTATGAGTACATGGAAGGATTGAAGAGTGAAGTTAAAAATCTGCTATAAGTACTGCCGCCAAAGAGTGGTTTTCCCATCAACATTCTATAGGACAAATTTCACAGTGGGTTGCTCCACATATCAAAGGCTTCAGAATGGAAACACCGATTTCCAGATGTTTAAAAACTTTTTTTCGCATCAGATTGACATACTGTATGAGCAACGGCACCAGTTGCATGATAAATTGACATTCTAAAATCGCTGGAAAAGCAGTGTTTGTAAAAAGATTTGTCGTCTCGTAAATGTGTAATTAATAGGGACAACAAAGGGACCTCGCAACAAGAAAAAGCACCTGTTACAAGTATACCTGACATGTACTTTTGTGAAGCACCGGTGGCAGGCAGGTGCCAAAAGCAGTCAATGCATCCTATGCAAACAAAATCAACAAGTTGAGAGCGTTTAACAAAAGGTCAGCACACATTGGCAGGTAGAGTGATCAAACTGAGCTCGATCATGGGGACATTGGGTCAGATGACTCTGTAGCCTGGTTACAACAAGCAGGCAGTAGCTAGCCAAGCCCTCTCCAAAAGGTCCTTTCAGGGACCCACAACAGATAGGGAACAATAGCAATAGCGGAGGTGCTTTGTTTGGAGCACTCTTGTCCAAGTTACACTTTGGCATGATACACGTCCTCTTGGATCCGGTAGTTGTAGTTTTACCAGTTAGCAAGTTTAGTTTAACAACTGCATTTTAGGGTATGAAACAGTGTTATTAGTCTTCACAATGGACAAGGTAGGCATTTGAAATATGTTAGTTCAGTCTAAGTTATTCTGTTCTCATAAGAAAAAGTTTTATCAAAATGTAGCCTTCTATATAACGTTTAGAAAAGATTTTGTGTGCTGTTTTACATTTTATTTTATCATGTGTGTTGATCGCATACCTGCAATGCTGGTGTGTTATGCCGAAGGGCGTTTATACAGATATAGATATAGATACCCTTTCAGATAAGAGTTGTTTACTAAGGTCATCAGTCACACATTTAGCATTCTACTTACACCCTAGCTACAGTCTTGTAAATATCTAGTTAAAACTCTACAACAGTCATAGCTGCTTATTTTCTGCCCATTTTTCTATTTGAAACAATAGATCTAATGAATCTAAATGTCTATATCTCTTACCAGGAAAAAAGCGAAATGTTGGCGGAGAAGTTAAGCATGTACGCTGTGTACGGACTTCCCAAGCTGCCCTCCCTCATCTGGTTCTACAACAGAGACGAGGATGAGTCCATCTATGAACTGGTGAGTACCACACACCTCATGGGTGGCAGCTTGTCTCAAAGAAGTTGTTTTGAAGACCTACATTTACTGTAACTTTAATCATGGGAGGATTAGGGTTGACACATTCTTAGTTATACACAAGTTCCTAGCTATCTTATGCTAATGTTTTCTCAGACTTCTAGTTATGTTATTGAAGCTTACCTTACTTAACATTCCTGCTGCAAAGTTGCAATATAGGTCTAGCAAACTTAGCTGTAAAAATTAAGCTCTAAAGCAGTGTTTCTCTCAATTTGTTCAAATTTGTTGAACCATTTGTTTCTGTTGGTACAGGAAAGCTCATGGACAGAGATAGTTGAAGACAAAAGCACCATGACTAAGAAAG